GTATACTTGGACATCACTTTCTTTTTCCAAATTAGGGATGTTTACTGTAATTATTTCACTTAATAGCCTTCTAATCCATTCTGTCTTTCCATACCTTCAGTAACTCCTAAGACTCAATATTGGGTCATTTGATAATACCCCATAAATCTCAAACATTATTTTTAATTTTTTAAATTTCTTTTTTTTTATCTGAGCTATTTCAAATATTTGTCTTCTAGCTCTGATATTCTTTCTTCCTTCTCACCAAGTGTGTTGTTAAGGCTTTCCATTGTATTTTTATTTGACATATTAAATTCTTCATTTCTAATATTTCAGGTTTTTTTCTCTTCAAAATCTCAATCTCATGGGGAGAATTTTTCCTCCATGTCACCTGTGGATTTCTTTAACTCATGAATTTGCTCTCATTGCTTCTGAGTAATCCTATGATCATTCTTCTGAATTCCTTTTTAGGCATTTCATCAATCTCTTTTTCTTCACATTCTAATAGAAGTGTTTTTGAGTTTCTTTGGGGGAGTCATCTTGTCTTCCCTATTCTTGTCTCTTGAATATTTTCATTTATTTTTAGGCATTTGTGGAAATACTTGTTGGTTTTCTCCTCTGATGGATTTTCTCTTTAACTATGCAGAGCTTGGTGGAATGTTTGCTCTTTCATTAACCCACCCTGGCCAGTGCTCCAGGGTGGGTTAAGACCCAGCCTGACACCCAAGTTGGGTGTATAAGATCTCTATCATCAGAGGGGAGAGGGTATGATCACCCCTATTGGTGTAACCACTACTTCACCTCCTCTCTTCCAAGGTGATCAATGACTGAGGTTAGCCCACACTGGGTACAACACTCACCTATGCTGCTGCATGAACTGCACAAAGAATCTGTGCAGTGCTCTGTGTGAGCATGGATCCCTCTGCAGTGACCCGTTCCAGGCAGTCAGGGAGCTCTGAGCCTTTGATTGCCCAGAGACCCAGCTACCTACTTCCGTGCGGTCACAGAGTTCCCACAGTCTCAACACACAAGGCTCCCACCGTCATGGGGTGCAGAGGATTTGCTCTGCCTCACAGGTCTGTCCTGTCCATGTAGAGAGCAGAGGCGATCCCAGAGCCAGCTGCCTGTGTGTACTGTGCCTTGGTGGTTTGAGCCTCAGAGCCTGTGATATGTTGAGAGACTGGAGGTACCTCATAGCCCTACGTGGGTACCCAGCCTCCTCTCAAACCTCCCCACTAGACTCAAAATCAGGGAGTAACACAGATTTTTCCCTCTGTTAAAATGTCTTGGTTTAACCTACACACAAGAGCCACTACAGCCTTTAGTGTTGTCAAAACAGCACCTTCTCCCCGCCAGTTGCCAGGCACCCTTGTAGGGTAATGGGGAGAAAGAAACATGCTTTTTTCTTTGCATAGTTAGGCAGTTACCCTGCCCCATTGTTAGGGCTCCAGGCCAGACTCAAAGACAGTGTGATCCACAAAGCTGTCCCTCTGGCAGTATTACCAGTGGCACAGGCTGCTGCAGTCTACCCTCACCCTAACTCTCCAAGCTGGCATATCCTCCACCTCTTGGGTGCAGGGGGCGTGTGTGGTGTCTTCCAGGGTCTGCGTCATTAGCAGGAAGTTGGATTCAGGAGCTGGAGCCAGTATCATACTCGGGCACTCCAATGCTGGAGCCAGTGTCACACTCAGGCACTCCAATATGTGATGCTGGCTTGTTAATTGTTAGGCCAAATCTGCCCCTAATGAACATATTTTTACATTACCATTTATAGATGGGATCATCACATTTGTTTCAACTGGGATGCTTTTGAAATTAAAGGGGAATCCTACAATTACCCTGGGGCAATAGGTGTATACCAATACTGTTAAGACAAACCTGGATTTGTGATCACCTCACTTGGAGAAGATTTTCCTGGAATATAGCCAAAAATTAGCAGCTAAATGTTGGATACCTTTCTCCCTTTGGTTATTTCCAGCAAGCATGTGTTCCAATGGGTTGGTGAATATGCCAAAAGATTGGTGCAGATTTTAAAGACCACCCATGCTATAAACTACTCATAAGGGGGCTATCTAGGTCACAGGTTTTAGACATACTTAATTTTAGTAAGTTTGAGTTCTAGTCCGGTCTTTTCTATTTACAGATAGACTTTTTAATGTATTTCCATCATCTAGGAGATATCACATTTATATTACATATTTATTCATCTTTCCTACATCAAATTAGTTTTGATCTATAACAGCCACTAATTTATTGACAGCTACTCCTAGTGCCTTATCCTAATAGAAAGCAACTACTATGTACTTTATAATTTTTTTAGGTTTTATATTATTGGTCCTAACATTTACCCTTTGAGGTAGAGAGGGCAGAATTTGTAATCCTTATTTTACAGAAAAGGAAGTTGAGGATCAGAGGTAAACTGACTTGCTGCAGTCCACATGTCAGGTAAGTTATGGAGTTGAACTTGGAACCAGTTCTTCTGACTTTGATTTGCTTCTGCAGTAGCTAAAAGAGACAGGGAAAGGGATACATTTATGTGTGTGATTAAAGCAGGGACTGGCCACTTTAACTTTATGTCTTCCTCAGATCATAACACAGTGCCTGACACAAAGTAAATGATAAATAATTTTTATTGAATAAATAATCTGAGGATTATATAGGTATCCAGAGGGCCCATGTAATGCCACTGCTTAGTGCTCCGGTGATTCCCATTTATTGTAGCAATGCATTGGAGTATAGATAAGCGTAGTTCTATATATATCTGGCTGAAGAAAAGGCTTCAGGTCAATCTAGGACTCATGTTGAGTGGTTTGATTTGTTTAAACAAAAGCGATAATGGGTAGTAAATGGGTACCTAATTAATATGACTCTGTGGGACACCATATTAATTTGTTATAATAAATTCAGTAAGATTTCCTCCACTTTTTTAAGACATTGTTCTGTAGCTTTAAGTAACCAGTAGCAAAGGCAAAGTCCCTCGTTTTGCTAACCACATTTGACCTTTGAACAACAGGTTTGAACTGTGCAGGTCCACTTATATGTGGGTTTCTTTTCTTTCTTTTTTTAAAAACCTCTCAGATGAACCACATAGCCTGGAAATACTGAGAAAAAAATTAGATATGTCATGAGTCCATAAGATTTATGTAGAAAAGAGTTTATCATCTACTACCATAAAATTTACACAAATCTGTAAAAAGTTAGTATTTATTGAAACTTCTGCACAAAAACTTGAACTATACATGGCCCCATTTGCAGTCCAAAGAAATATAAGCAAACATAAAGAAGCAGTATTAATCAAAAACTCCATAATTTCATTGCCCTCTGTTTGCTGTCACAAGAAGTAAAAATTTATATGTGGATTTTTATTTATTTATTTTTTTTTTGACAGGCAGAGTGGACAGTGAGAGAGAGAGACAGAGAGAAAGGTCTTCCTTTGCCGTTGGTTCACCCTCCAATGGCCGCCGCGGTTGGCGCGCTGCGGCCGGCGCACCGCGCTGATCCGATGGCAGGAACCAGGAGCCAGGTGTTTTTCCTGGTCTCCCATGGGGTGCAGGGCCCAAGCACCTGGGCCATCCTCCACTGCACTCCCTGGCCACAGCAGAGAGCTGGCCTGGAAGAAGGGCAACCGGGACAGAATCCGGCGCCCCGACCGGGACTAGAACCCGGTGTGCCGGCGCCGCTAGGCGGAGGATTAGCCTAGTGAGCCACGGCGCCGGCCTATATGTGGATTTGTGACTGCATGGTAGGGGTAAAGGAATGCGAGGTTGGCACCCCTAACCCCCATGTTATTTAGTGGTCAACTATACTGTATTGCCTTCAGCTGTTTAACAGTTGCTTCCTATTCCCAAGATTCCCAGAGATAGCCATAGTTTAGTGAGAGATTCTAACTATGGTCAGAATGTTATGTTTCATTGAAAGGTTGTCTCTTAATAGTTTGTTGCAGTGTTGGGAGAGGCTGGTTGGCCTCAGCCTCTATCCCAAACCTGCGACAATTTTGAAATCATTTCAGAGTCTTCCATAATCTGGCTCTAAGTCCCTTTCCACCTCATCTCAAATTATCCCTCCCCTTCAATACCACTTTCTGTGATAGGAAAGAAGACCATTCAGTAATTTAAAACTCATATTTTTTCATACTCCATCATTCAAGGAAGTTAAAGTAGTCATCTTACAGAAATTGTTATTTATTTATCTATTTATTTATTTATTTATTTATTGAAAGGGAAGACTCCTGTCTGCTGATTTACCCACAGATGTCCCCAGTGGCCAGCTAGGACTAGACCACACTAAAGCCAGAAGCTCAAAATCTCATCCAGGCTTCCCACGTGGTGAATCATCACATACTGCCTCGCAGGGTTTGCATTGGCAGGAAGCTGGAGTTAGGAGCTAGAGTAGGATATTGAACCTAGGCACATTGATGTGGGACATGAATGTCTTAACCAGTACACCAAATGTCTGCCGTTGTAAGTTCTATTTTGTATCTTAAAGACTTCTTTTTGTCCTCTAGCTGCAGAGACCCATTTCCTGTTGCTTTTTATTTGGTCATATCCTAGTAAATTAAGAAAAGTTTATGTAATTATTGGTAAAAGCATAGCTTTGTCTCTTGAAGACAATTAACCATGTTAAATTAAGATTAGGAATATCAGGAATGGGGTACTCTGAATGCCATGAATGAGATCAAAATCAATTGTGAGCAGAAGCAAGAATCCCATTATTCTTTAACTAAATCTTATATAAATCTTTCTTTATATATTCAATAAATCCTATTGATCACTATGTTTTTATTTTTAGTCCCGCTTGGTTTGAGTTGGCATTTCTGCATACTCTTGACATCTGTTACTGGTATTACCTACATACCTCACCTATGACTATTCAGTAGCTACATCACAGTCTGACTCACCAGCCTCCCCTGTCCATTAGCCTTTCATCCCTGCTAGGCATTTTCTTTTTCTTTCTCCTCTTCTTTCTAATTCCTTTCTTTCTTCTTTACCCCCATCTCCCTCACTCCTCCATGATTTTCTCAGGGCTGGGCTTCAACATCGTCGGTGGGACAGATCAACAGTATGTCTCCAATGACAGTGGGATCTACGTCAGCCGCATCAAAGAGAATGGGGCTGCAGCCCTGGATGGGCGGCTCCAGGAGGGTGATAAGATCCTCTCGGTGAGAACTGGCTTCGGCCTCCTTCGCTATTTCTTTTCTCCCCAGACTGTAGCTCCTACCCCCAGTCCCTTCCTTGGGAAGATTCCTGCCTGCTAATTTTTGGATCTAGAAATAATGCTGATTGTGTAGTCGAATGGGAGAAACATTCAATCAGTCGTTATTTGCCACCCTACCATTAGGCATGAAGGACAGTGTTACCCTCACCTGAAAGAAAAGCAAGAAAGGAGGATAGGCATGAAGTCTATTCCAGACCCAGACCCTTTTAACCCACTTATATAGGTGAAAACTTGATGTACAATTTGATTTGAAATCTTTCTAATGTTCTCCCATTTCATCTGGTTAACAGCTAAACTGAGACATGATAATCATTGATTATATTATTATCTGGAATTTCCTTAAGGGGAGGGGCCATATCTTTTAAAAATCTTTTCTAGGAGAGAATGATCCAACATGGGAAGCAGACCACACAGCAGACTCATAGAATGACAAATGCCATAAACAGCACTCTGACCTCAGAATCAGTCCTTAAGGCATTCAGATTTGGCTGAAAAGCCCATGAGAGTATTTCAGGCATGGAAAGCCAAGACACTGTGGCAAAAAAATGATCTAAATGAAGGATCTCTGTGAGTGAGATCCCAGTGGAAAGAAGGGGCCATCAATGAAGGAAGTGCCTTTCTCTGAAGGGAGGAGAGAAATTCCACTTTGCTTTTGGTCCTGTCTAAATACTGACAGAGTATGTGGGCCCAAAAGTCTTCCTTAGCCTTGGCAGCTCATGACAAGAGCCTCGGGTAATCACTGATGTCATAAATAAGAGTGTCAATTGTTAAATCAACAATAAGAGTCACTGTGTACTTGGTTCCCCATGTAGGACCTCTGTCCTTAATGAGTTGTACTATGAGAATTAACGGTAAAACCTGTCTTCAAACAGTACTTTATACCTTGTGTGTCTGTGTGGGTGCAAACTATTGAAATCTTTACTCAGTATAGAGTTGATCTTCTGTATATAAAGATAATTAAAAATGAATCTTAATAAAGAATAGGATGGGAGAGGGAGTAGGAGGTGGGATGGGAGCGCGGGTAGGTGGGGTATGGGGGAAAGAATTGCTATGTTCTTAAAACTGTACCTATGAGATTTATATTTATTAAATAAAAGCTTTTAAAAAAAGAAATCCAAACAAAAATAAATAAATAAAAATAAATCTTTATTCTCTAAGACAGTTTTCAATGAACAAGTTAGGAAAGTCAGATAAACCTAAAAAGATTGACTGATAGGTCCACAAATCCATGTTCTTAAAATTTAGAATAAACCTAGAATAAATCAGAAAATAGGCAAAATAAGAACTTTTAAAGCTATTAAAAGGCAAAATATAACTCTAGCCCTACTTTCCACTTTTGTTCCTCACCATCGACTGTAGTGTCACTATGATATTATCAATTGCAAGAGGTGGAGATTAGCAAGAGTAAAGGGCAAGACTTAAGTAGAAGGAAATTTGAACTATCATAAGGTGTTGTCATGACAGTAGCCCCACCTTCTCCAGATGGACCATGCTGTCATGGTCAGAAGAGGAGAAAAACTATTCCCTTTTTTTTCTTATGACTTGAATAGGGTGTGAGGGCTAAGGGAAAAGGTAAAATAGGTGAATGAAATACAGACTAAGGGAAGTCTTCATTGAGAGAATTAAGTAGTTGTCTCAATGCCTCTGTAAGACAGATATATCCTTTTAAAATATTTCTTAGTATGGTTTTGTTTTGAATTCTCCCCTTTGAATTGCTTCTTATGCAGTTTAACTAATTAGTTATAAGCGTGAAGTCTCTTGGCCCTCTTAGTTTCTATCTTATTGGCCACTCTCTGCCATCCAGTCCATTTGGTAGCCTACATGAAGGCAGAGTTACAAAGGAAAGCAGAGAGAACTTCCACCTTTTCCTCATTTGGCATCTCAGTATTTGAGAGATCAAGCTCAGTGGTGTGATTCTGAATACCTCTTCACGAGACTTTATCACTCTGCTTAGTCCTCAGAAAAGAAAATAAGAAAAAGTAGCTATTAAAGCTACCCAAACAAATTCAAAAATCTAAGTTGTCATAGTTGATGCAGAATATAAACATACTATGAATGGCATTGTTTTAGATCTTCTTAATGAGTATTTTGCCTTTCTTCATTCCATTAAGCTTCTCCTATATACGACTTATCAATCTCTGAGGTGGAAATACTGATAATCCAACTGTCACCTAAAAAGGATATTAAAAAGTTTAGAAGCAGCTTATTTCATCAACGTGGCAATGGTACAGTAAGGAAATTGAGAATGGATTGTTAAAGATGTAGCATATAGTTAAGATGTATGCAGCTTAATATTTTTGCATATAAATCCTCTTGTCTTCAGATCACTGGATCCTAGCCTTCATGACTTAAGAAGGATTTGAACAGTATAGGACTTAAGAAAAGAGCCATATTGTTTGAAAAATTGTGATTAAAGGTAGATTCTTGCAAAATGAGAATAGTGAGAAATTTTTAAGCAGCTAAAACAACATAGTAGCATGCTAAGAACTTTGATTTACCTTTTTTAATAGTATGCTTACGTAATGAGGTGAGTATGATTACTGTACTCACTTTATAGCTTCTAAGAAATTGAGCCTTGGTGAAGTCAAGCAGCATACAACTATTAAGTGTCAGGGACTAAAATTTTGATCTATCTGAATTTGGAGCCCCTGCTTTTAACCAGTGTACTGTACTGCCTCCTGAAAGCTAAATGAGAAGCTAGAATTACTTGTCCTGAAAAGAAAGTGATGTGGTGAACTAGCAATAGATTGGATGTGTGGTTTTATATAAAAGCTAAAATTAGTCTTTATATAAAACAGGAGAGAAAAGAGGAAAACAGGATGTAAATGCCACTGGGAAAGAATTTATTAGATATAGTCTGAGATGAGGAACCTTTCTAATGTAGGTAATTGCTTCACAGAGAAATATTATTGAAAGACCTGTCAAGTTTTCAAAAATGGCTTGAGAGGTAGTGATAGATGGTAGGAGATAAATGTCAAAGGTAGCACAGTAGATCCAGCTCCTCCAGTGCCAGCACCTCCTATGAGCACTGGATGAGGATCTGTTGCTCCACTTCCCACCCACCTTCCTGATAATGCACCTGATAAAGCAGCAGAGGATGGGCCAAATCCGTGGGCCCTGCCACCACATGGGAGACGTGCACGGAGTTCCAAGCTCCTAGCATAGGCATGGCCAGCCCTGGCCATTGCAGCCATTTGGGGAGTGAACCAGCAGATGGAATCTCTCTCTCTCTCTCTCTCTCTCTCTCTCTCTCTCAAATTCTGCCTTCAAGTAAATAAATCTTTTTTTAAAAAGTCAGTGAAGAAAAAAGCAAATGTCTAAAAACCTCAGCTTACCTAACTTTAAAATTTTATAACAAAGTAACTGTCACTTTATCAAATATAAGAAATAAGAGACATTACAAATAAATATATATATATCTCAAAGATACATAAGGCATATTTTGAAGGATGAGATGTTTATGTTTATGCTCTAGCCAGTTAAGGAAATGATGTGCAAAAGAAGAGAAAGGAAAATGCCAGGAAAAGGAAAAGCAGAAATAGAAGACAGGGATGGAAGAAGATAAAGAATACAGAAAAGAGGGGTGGGCGCTGTGGCGCAGTAGGTTAATCCTCCACCTGCGGCGCTGGCATCCCATATGGGCCCTGGTTCTAGTCCCGGTTGCTCCTCCTCCAGTCCAGCTCTCTGCTATGGCCTGGAAAGCAGTCGAGAATGGCCCAAGTCCTTGGGCCCCTGTGCCCACGTGGGAGACCAAGAAGAAGCTCCTGGCTCCTGGCTTTGGATCAGTGCAGCTCTGGCCGTTGCAGCCGTATGGAGAGTGAACCACGGAAGGAAGACCTTTCTCTCTGTCTCTCCCTCTCACTGTCTGTAACTCTACCTCTCAAATAAATAAATAAATAATCTTAAAAAAATTTTAAAAAGAATACAGAAAAGAAGAAAAAAATGGAGTGTGTACAAGAGAACAAGAAGCATATCCTCTGTGTTCTATCTAGGCCTATATTCCTTTGACTCCAGTTTCTTTTCTAAGAGTTCCAAAATTCGTTCTGGATCCCATTCCTTAAGAAATATTGTGAAAAAATCTGTGTTGCCTCACTCACCCATGTTGTCTCTATAAGTGTCAAACCATAACCATTAAATTTCCCAACTATTCTGCTCACTTTATCCCTTTCATGTTCATAAGTATTCACTTATTGGCTCTGAAGTCTCTATAGAATGATGCAATTTCTTTATTAGCCTATATTCACATTTAGTGGACTTTTCTTTCTCCTCACATAGGTTATTTTTCTATGTTGTAAAATTTACTCATTTTTTCTACTCACTTTTGCTAGTTATTAGTAATTAACCTATAAATGTGTCTCTTACTTACCACCATCTATTTTAGATAACAGATAGAAGTATCATGATCTATAAATTTCCCATGAGTTATTATCAGCCATCAATTTAATCTTTCCAGTCTCTTTAAATAATGCCCATATATTATCTTGGTTTTAAGTTCTTAAATAACTGCATGCAGTTTTATTTTCCTCATTGAAAATGAAAATTTTTTTCTCAGTATAGGTATTTTATTAATTAATTGTTTTAAAGTATATTTAAGACCATGTTACCTCTAAAACAAAAATGGGTATTACCAATGGAAGAACAGACCTGAAGTTGAGATGAGGGCCAGAAATTTCTCACCCAAAGTTCATTTGATATGTGTGCAGTGCTGAGAATAGTTTAATGTTGGCATAGGATACTGTGGGAAATTTTGTTAAAAAAAAAAAAAAGTAGACTAAGTTTCTCATCTTCCCTGTGTATCTGTCGAAAGGAGGGAGAGTGAATAGAATAGTCAAGAATAGTTGATCCTCAACAAACTCCACATTTGTATAAAGCTAAGGGTGATTTAGCTGGTTATTATAATTGTACAAATGAATGTTCCATTAAATAACAAAATGGCATAGATTG